GGTGCTGGTTTTTATTAAATAGGATTAAAGACGGTAAATTGGGTTCTGGGGGTGTTAAACAAATCACTGTAGAATTCTTTTGAACTTATTTTCCTTCTTTTTCGTCTTTGTAATGTGTGGAATAGAATACTTGAAGCTGAATCCCCTTGGATATGTGCCCACATTGGTGGATGGAGATGCAGTAATAGCCGACTCTTTTGCTATCTTAATGGTGCGTTTTTCTTGTGCTGTGCCATTTGAGTGTGTAACTTTTTATCATTACTATGTTGGTAATGAGAAGATTTTTTGGGCAGTATCTGGAAGAGAAGTATCCCCAGCGAGCATTGTTGCCTCAGGATTGTCAGAAAAGAGCAATCAACTATCAGGTACAAAGGAAAAGTGGATGATGGTATTTTATGGCCATCAAGAGCTAAAGTTCTTTAGTATTGATTAAAAAAAATAGGAACTAAAGTTTTTTAGTACCGTGCTCTGGGGTCTGATTATTTAATACCACTGTACGTATGTAGCTTAAGCAGCTGGACCGAAGTTCTGAATTTTAGCGATTTCATGCAGTGGAATGAAAATGACTTGGTTATTACCTGGAATCTCTGCTGAAACACTTCCCTCCATATTGAGAATGAATCAATTGCCTTTAAACCGAATGTTACTTATTTGAAAATAAAAAGAACTTAAGATACCCTGATAAATACTTATAAAAATATAGATAGTATAATGTTGAATGGTTTAGCACATCATTCAATTCTACTTGTTTTCAATCTATTTCCTGTTGAGGAATTCAAAGAACGGTGTACATTTTAAGTATTATCTTCTGATGACTTAGAATTCAATTGTTTCATCACTTAGATGTGCCCTGAGTGACTAAAATTACACGGTTTCCTCGTCTCAGATGTCTAGTATTTCCAAGTCCATCTTTTGTTGAGTCCATAAGCAAAGTAGGATAATCCACTTAAGCAGATGAAAATATCATGTAATCGAAAACTTTGGGACTCTGCTGTCATCTATCTGGAATATGGCCTTCTTTGTTTGCACTTCACTAAAGTACTGATACCTCTCATGATATAAGCTGCCAGAAAGAGAGAGATTTTAATTCCAGTGCATTCCTGTAACTCTTTCTCAACCTTTATCCCTAGTCTCCTATGTCTTTCTGTTTGCCTCTTTTTTCTTTCTGAAATATTATTTTACCCAAGTTCTTGGAATTGGAATTGATTTAGCATATCTTCCCTGTTTTCCATTTCTGCAGGCTGCAAACATTGTTTCGGCAAACATTCAGCCTCTACAGAATCTTGCTGTACTTGTGAGTTTAAATTATTATTCGTTCACTGGTGTATAAGGTCATTTTCATGTGTTTAAAGATTCATACGATTTTACTTTTTTTTTGGCCTTCCCATTCACAGAAGTACATCCACGAAAAAGTTGGCCCTAATGAGACAACCCTTTGGGTTCAAAGTCATATAACAAAAGGCTTTGAAGGTAACATTGCTCTTAGTGCCTTTGCAGACATACATTACTTCCTGTCCCATAAATTTGTTTTTGATAAGTATTTTGGTCCCATAAGCCGCTCATAGGACTAGATTTGGACAGTACCTCTGCGTGCTTCACGTTGCAGAAATTGAATGGCTTACATTTAATTTTCGGAATTTTACAAATGTTCCCTAAGAAGAGCCTAAGATTCTTGGATGAAGACACTAGAATGGTCATTTTCTTGTACGTAATTTTGCAGTTGTCAAGTACCTAACTTAGCACTCGCTGGTATAAGTTAATCTTAGACTCAGTAAAGGTTGTTGTAGTAACTTCAGGCTGAATTACTGTTTCGCTCTTAGGCACTGGATATTTGATGGAACTTCTATTCAGATGCTTATAACAGAGATTTTCTTTTCTGTTAGTAGTAGCCCAGCCTATCAAGCAGGGGCAACTATTTGCCATTATCAGTATCCCAGCCAAATTTGCATTAGCTATTGATTGGTTGGCTTGTTCTTGCAAACTTTTGCTTCTGGTTGCTGAAATTGCATCTCCTTTTCTGTCACTGGTTCTGCTTGCTTTTTTTTTTCGTCCTCTGAATCTTGTTTTAAGATCAACTCGTCTTTGTAACAGCCACATGCTTTTGCTCTCTTGAATTTTGGATCAAGCTGATGCCTGTAGGAAATAAATCAAATTAATATCCAAAAAAGTTGTTTCCTGTAGATCTGTAGCATGTGTTTTAGATGCTTAGGTCCTTGGCATTTGTAATTAAAGTTCCAGAAGACAATTCCCAATAGAAGGTTCCTGTGGCCACGATGTGCTAGGATTGATTGTTTGATGTACTGCAGTTGATTGCAGTTCACGAGAATAAACTGATTTTAATTGTAACAGTAGGAGTTGTTAGAAGAAGGATTTATCTCAGTTGATCTAGAGGTTTCCTTAACAGAGATTTGCTTTTGCAGCACTTGAAAAGCTACTTAAAGATTATGCTGGAAAGTATGCAACAGGAGATGAAGTTTACATGGTTTGTTTCTTTTCAGTTCATATATTGCTGCCTCATATGCACTGACAGCACACAATGCTAACAGGTGTCTTGATATGTTTCATACATGTGTTGACCTTAGCAACTCACTGTGCACTTCCAAGTCTTTTACCCCCTTAGGTCTCATATGCTTTCTTTTTTCCTTGATAAGTAAAGGGAAATTATATTAGTAACACTCGGGGATATGCTATTAGCAATATTAAGTAAAATCTCCTCCTTTTCTATCTCCCAGACATTAAAATTCCTTCTAAATTGAAACGTTCATGAGCTTCCATCCTGTTAATAAGCTATTCTACCATTTTTTGTCAAGTGCTGCACTATATAATCAGGAACCGTGACCACTTATGATTTGTAAGGTCTCATATGCTTTCTTAATTTGGTCAAAGAAGGTAAAGATCATTCAATTCTCACGTAATAAGTAAGCTCACTAGAACTTGATTGTAAAAAAAAACAATTATACCTGCATGATGAAATAGTGATGACCTGATTCAGTTCACTCAGTATTATCTTTAACAGACCAAAACGATTCACACTTCTATTATGCCATATAGAATCCAATTCAGATGCTTAACTTATTTTGCAACTTGCAGGCCGACTTGTTTCTGGCACCTCAGATCCATGCGGCAATCAAGCGTTTTGAAGTTGACATGGTAATGCCTTTATAATAGACATCCCACCGTATACATGAGAGTCATTTTCATTTCTACTCGCTTTCTGGTATAAAATGAACATGGTGCAATAAAGTTTTTTTTTTTTTTTTGATATCCAAGAAATCTGTCTGTGACCCGCCCTTTGGACCAATCACAGCCTTCTAAACTTGGTCGATAATGGGCCCACCCCTCTACCCTTCTCCACTTAAATACCGGGCTCCGCTTTGCATGGTGTGGGGCTTGAACCTGCGACCTAAGCCACAAATCCTCCACCTTTTGCCACTTGAGCTAGGCCTTGGGGGCAGGTGCAATAAAGATTTTGTAAACCTAAAGAAGGGAAATTAACGTCTTTCTTGATTTATGTAGTTCAGTGTCTTACAAGCCTCAGGTAATAAGTATCTGATCTTGTGAATTTTTTCTCAATGGCATACATAATGAGTACCTAAAAGTTACTTCTGTTTTCTCATATCGGAGTAGAGACAAGGCAGTGCACTGCTACCTTTCTTGATCAAATAAAGGGGTATTTATTGCTGCTTCATTTCATTTGTTTTGGTAGCAGCAATCGATCATTTCCTGACAGTTTACCTTTCTTTGAATTAGCGTCTTGCCAATCCATTGCTTTCTTACTTTTTTTTTGGGTCTTCTTTTAATCAATTGTTGCTTTCAAGAAATAGTTTTTTCCTCTCAAATAAACTGGATGGTATATTCCACTTACTTGATTTACCATAGTCAATGGTGGTACTTTCATGTTTCTTAGGTGAAGTTATATGCATACATCTCTTTCTCTTTAACGAATATCTTCTTCCTAAAAGTTGTCAATGCAATGTGCAGAATCAATTCCCTACTCTGTTGAGGGTATTTGAGGCTTACCAAGAGCTGCCTGCTTTCCAGGATGCTATGCCAGAAAAACAGCCTGATGCCACATGCTGAGGCAAGATTCTGAGGTAGTTAATTACTTTGGAGATAAAGAATATTGACTATATTCATTTATTATATTGCCTTAAATAGTCATATCTGTGCACCAACAACCACTTGTGTTATCACAAACTAATTTTGTTAGTATTTCAGTGAGCAGGCCATCCATCTCCTTTAAAGTTCCTTTCTCAAACCATTGGCATAACTGCTGGACTTGAATTTTGGCAGAATTGTTAGCTGTTTTGCTGCACATTCTATTTCTGGAGGCATTTGCCTTTTGTAAACTTCTTTACGATGAATAAATGTAGAGCTGTGTAACACTAGCAAACTTCTTTACGATGAATACATGTAGAGCTGTGTAACACTTGCAAACTTCTTTACAATGAATAATGTAGAGCCGTGTAACACTTGAGTTATGGCACAGTCATGAGCTACTGAAGTACAGATAGTGAAAATGGTGTTATACCTATGTTAAGGAGCTTAGGATGAAACATTCCTTGGTCTATGTTGTGATTTGTGAGATATTATAAATTTCTCTGCATGTTGAAAAGAGCAGATGTTTCTATTATTATTTTTCGTTTGGTTGACCTGAGTACTTGGTAGACATATCATTAATCACCAACTCGGTAGCTTGTTGCGGTGTTCGGAATTGTAGGAGGGAAAGGGATTTCTACATGAAACAGATATGTTGCATGTACCGTCATGGAAGTGAAAGGAGGTTACATCAACAAAAGAAAAGGCAAATTTAACATTAATCATCATCAGGAAACATACCAATATGGCCGAAATATACAAAATCAATACACTAATTATGTATATCCAAAGAGGCATTGGACTGTAATTATCCCTTAATCAATCATTCATGCCATGAGCATTATCCTTCTAAGTTACACGCCAAGCTTTTCTGTGGAGGTTATCAAAGTTAGGCCTCAATATTATCCTTCTAAGTTACACGCCAAGCTTTTCGCTGAGGTTATGTTCAACTTCTTGCATTTGCCCTTTCTTTTATGTCTCATATTTGCGGCAGTAAAAAGTTTATATGCCGAGTGGGGCATCTCGCTAAGCTTACCAAACCGTTCCTCATAAAAGTGCCACACCTCCAACCTGCTCAAGAGAAAAACCAGCAATAGAACTTTAGCAAGGAAGATGATCACATAGAGAATAAGTTCGAATAGGGAAATGGGTGCAGCAGCCCACCAATATTCTAAGAACTGAAACGGTGCATACTTCCCATAAATATTTTCAACATCTCTTTGAACGTTCTGTATGGTGGAGGTTCTCGCACGAACCTGGAATTTTTTTGGAAAAGTGAATGATCTGTCTTAAGATTCTTAATAACATATGAATCCATAATAATTTCAGGGGAATATCACGTGCTGGTGTACATTGGTACAAGTAATAGACGTGCCTTTAAGTCAAGTTTGAAGTGAAAGGTAATACCTGCTTTAGATGCCTAATTGTTTCTGAATCAGTAGGAATCACATGATAATAACCCAAGCACATAAGTACATTAGCACAAGTAAATCGGCCAAATCCATCTATTTCTCTCAGCTGCTCAGCCATTTTATCATAATTGGCCAAGCTTGGGTTGCTACAAGCTTCTTCAAGTTCTTTCAACTGAATACTGCCTTCAACTATGCCCTTAGCAAGCTTTATAATGCGGCCAGCTCTATAACCAAGACCGCAACGCTTTGCTAGAAAACTTTCATCAAGGCTTGCCAATTCTTTCGGGCTAGGGAAGTTCCCAAGCTGATTAAAAGAGCTCAGCTTTCTATCTTCTGAAGGATCAGGATTGAATGGTGCACTTGTACCAACATCGCAAACCTCAGTAGTATCCCGACAAAGATTACTCTTTTTGAGAACCTCTTCACCAACTGAAAATGCAGGTGTCACAGTTACACCCGGTTTCCCTATATCTATGATTTCTTCGACTTCGGTAAGCCTCTCCAACAATTTTCTGGAACATCCATAAGCTCCAGCTCTTTTTCGTGATTCTTTTCCTGCTGGTGTTGCTGGTGTTCTTGGAGTGAAATGCTCAGACTTGAAAGTTATGCCCTTCAACTGATTTTGATTATCAGGATCAGGAAAAGATGCAGCTAACGAGGGACAGTTCAGCTCCAACTGAAGCTCGCATAATGCTTCAACCATGCTCAACGTCCTTGACCACCTACACAAAGGAATCAAAGATTATCAGAAAAGGCCACACATTTATGAATGTTTCTGTCTTTCGATTTTATCCAAACACCACATCAAGCTGCTACCAGGGCTACATGTCCATAATTTCACTTCTCATGAAACAATTGGTTCATTCTCTTGTTTTCTTCAAAATCTTGACTTCCCTACTGGGCTTGCATAACATCATTGGGTCGACTAGAAAAATTCTTAGCATAGGTTTATACTATATTGTCTCTTTTTGATTAATGAATGTAACTAGTTTAATACTGCTACTCAGTTCAACTACTCACTGGCAATTGCAGAGCAGCATACACTTCACCATGTCCTCAAACAATGTCGGCGATCTAAACACTCTCCCAAATCCCCTCTCATTTGCTTCTCCACAAATCTCCTGAAACTGTTTCACTCTTTTATTCTCTTCCACTGATAATCTCACCATTCGCCTCACTTGACCCTATATAACAGTTAAAGTAAACCCCAGCCAATAAACAAAGCCACACAAGGAAATGCATAAGGTACAAAATTTACACAAATACTTTCGGAAAAAGAAGTACCAGCAGAGAGCGTTGTTGTATAGTAGAAAGGGAATCAGTACCGAAAACTCGAAGAAGGAGTGAATGAGGAGAATCCGAGGGTTGAGTAATTTGGACAAGAACTGATTGTTCGTGATCATCATCGTTGATGTTTTCGGAGAGGCGTAGTGGGCGTTCTAGGGTTTTGGAGAGAGAGTCCCAGCGGTTTGGGGCCATCATAAATAGGCCGTGGCTACATACTGCTTTTTCCAAATCGAATGTGGCGCAGTCTCCGTCTCCGTCTTCGAGTGGTAGCTCCACCACCACGCTGCGGTGGCGATCGATCTCTTGCCGGTGCTGCATTTTACTGTTGAGAGCCGTTGGAACGAGAGAGGAGAAAGAAGAAGAATAATAAATCTGCAGAGGATTATAGCCCTTACCTTTGGTAAATGTTCATTGTCGCCCTAATTTTTTATACCAATGAATAATTAAATATCAATTTATCTGAGGAAAACGGTAGATCAAGAGTAACTGAAATAACGAACCAAAATATTGCATAATTACTAATCGATAACATCTCGTAAAGATAAATATCATTTGAATATCCTTATAAAAATAGCTAGTAAACTAACTAAAATTGATGTCTTCAATTTCTATCGGCCTTCACGTCTTAATTTTTTTCTTTTGAATTATTAAATTTTTATTCATTTTCTATTTGAAAGCAAACTTATATTTGTTCATGAAAGAGCACTATTTAATATGTGTTGTTTGAAATATTTTTAAAGAAATTTAGATATTTTTATTGTTTGAAAGTTAAGACATATAATTGATTTATATCTCATATAAAATAATGCTAGATATTTTAAATTTTATGAGTTTCTTTAACTTTTGTATTTTGTATTGTTTTTTTTTTTTTGTGTTTTATGCTATTTTATTAAAGTTTATATTAAATAATATAAAATAATGATTTATGAAGCTTAGATTTCATGTCTCGAACTGCGTACTAAGTACTCCCTCCGTCCCATTTTATGTGGCAACATTTGACCGGGCACGGAGTTTAAGAAATAAATGAAGACTTTGAAATGTTTACCAAATTGCCCTTTTAAAAAGTAGACTCAATTTCTCTGTCCTCATAAATGTATTGGAGTATTATTTTAAGATTAAGTGGGACCAACAAGGATAAAAAAGGAATTGTACCTTTAAATACTTTCCTTATAAGGAAATGTGACATTCTTTTTGGGACTGACCAAAAAGGAAATGTTGTCACATAAAATGGGACGGAGGGAGTAATTTACCTCACGTTCCTGCTTTTTAAAACAATAATTTTAAATATAAAACTTAGAGAAAGATGCAATTAATCACATATATATTAGATGGAACCGTTCTGTCATTCTTGAACAAACATAATTTTTAGAAATAAATTTCTTTCTTTGGAATGTTCAACTTTCGCCATGGCGCCCATTCTTGTTCTTTGTACTTCATTATTTTAAGGCCTAGGGCGGTCGCTTTAGAGTTCAAATGGAGTTTAAAGTAACAATCTTTATCTAGGAAAAACTCTTCTTGATTCGTTCATACAAGAATATGTCCTCTTCTTTATTTTTCATACGTTGTATAGAAAATATTTGCTTTCTTGTTTATGTTAAACAACAATATTTCATACCTGCACCCTTTAAATTTTCCCCCTTTATGATTAGTTTATTAGGATGATGAAATCAGAAAGTGACATGGGACTTGGATATTTGGTCAAAGTTCTTGATTTTTATCAAGAAACCTTCTTCTTGTTGGCTTGTTCTTATTGTTGGCTTGAGGAATCAGGGTATGTAATATACTGTATACACATTATTTTATTTGTCTTGACTTTGTTTTCAACAGGTTTTCTTGGACTCATTCTTTTGTCCATGCAGCGTGAAGGTCAAGGATAACTTGCTGGATATTAGGAAGGCGTTATTTACAAGGCTTGCACTGAAATATAGTTTTTCTTTTCCAACAAAAGGTTGGGGTGTTGGATGTTCAAGAAAAAGGTTTTGCTATGCTGGAAATGGGTTCAAGAAGTCATGTCTTCCTCCTGATTTTTGTATCCCAAATTCTGGCTATACTGGGACAAACAAACAGCAATGATGGTACTGTTTATTTTTTCTCTGATTATCCATTTAAGATTACTTGATATGCACTTTCTTGTTTTTCTTGGTTAAATTCGAAACTGTTTCAGATTTGATTGCGTGTGAGTCTATAACCTAGGCCATAGATAGCTAGAATTGGGTGTATTCTAGATTCCTAACTGTTCAAAAGTACAAACAGCTGAATTGTTTTTGGGGTTCATGATATAGAAACTAATAACTATCGTATTCCATCCTGCATCGTGGTTTATTCTATTTTTGGAATTTAGACGAAGCATGCTGTTTTACTTTCTTTGAATGTCACATTTGTGTGGGCTGAATTTTTATTTGACTAGTTCTTTGAACTTTGAGTTGGAGTGACTAATTCATCTGAAAAGTTTGAGGTGCCTACGGTCCCAGCCTACAGTTCTTGCTGATTGTTAGTGGGCTGCTGTGATTGATTGCTATATGCATGCTTGTGTGAGCTAGTATGTGGAAAAAATACCAAAGTTAAGCAACAGGAAGGGATAACTAAGTCATACAAACGATGAATGAGAAAACTTTATGATCTAGCAGTTCTTTAGCATTATTGAAGACTGAATGATGGGCAAAATGCTAGGCAACACATTCCATTCAAAACTAAGCATATTTTAGAAGTACTCAGAGTCGTGTTTTCTTTACTGGGATCTCTTTCTGCCTTTACTCCCAATTTAGAATATAGGATTTATTTTTTTGAAATATGCTCTTCTTGTAGTTTAGTTGACCAAATTACTGATCAACCGAAAAGACGTCCAAAGTTAGCAATGCAGATACAAAGTATAAATTAGCAACAAACTTCGAAGAAGCTGCTATACTATCTAAATTTATTGTCATGGATTGTCCGTTGAAAAAAGTTATTGGAGTACTTGTCAAATTTGAATGCTTATAAAGTTTTGCGCTTTTTGTAAGCTTGAGTTTTAAGAGTACATTTGTAGTTGGTTAAACATCTACGTTTTTGATAGTACAGTACAGAGGCCATTTATAGTTCCTTTTATTATGCAGCCACTGCTCTGTTTTCTCTCAAATCTAGTTGGAATAACTTGCCACCAAATTGGGAGGGGTCAGATCCTTGTGGTAGCAGCTGGGCAGGAATTATCTGTGACAACTCACGCGTAACCTCAATGTATATCCTCAATATTTGAAATTTCTGATTGTTCTGTAGCTTGCCTACCTTCCCTTCCTCATTGTTTTCTTTAACTTTCCTTTTGCAGAAAGTTATCAGGCATGGGCTTGGAAGGCAATCAGTTTGGAGATCTTTCATCATTAACTGCATTGCAAATTTTGTATGTTTTTTTTTGATGAAGTAGATTCATTTTAAGGCATCAAGAAGATGCAAGCTTTACAAGGACGTTTTTTATTTTGTTTTTCTGTCTTGACTGTTAAGAATCAATGATAAGCTTCCAGAATCATCTTTAGTTCACCTATATTTCTTTCTCCAACTCTTATCTGAAGAACAACAGTAGTTTCATGTAAAAATCATTAAGAATGCTGCAGCTAGTTCTCAAAGTAAATGAATGCAATATCCATGTCTTTCTTTGCTACATATATTATTCTGGCCTCATCTCTTCTTCATCCCAAACTAATTCCTGCAAGTATTTGTAAGGAGTATACATATCATAAGAAAGATTTGATCTTTCTTTCTCAACTAACAGGAATAATTTCTGCCATTCGGATCCACTGCTTTAATTAGTTTCTAACCTTTTTCTTACCCCAAATTAACCTATTCAAATGATTTATCACTTTGCTTCGTTTGTTGTATCAAATTTGGTTTTTGAGGCACGCATTATGAACTTCTTTGTTGTAGGGACCTCTCGAATAATGTTGGTTTGAAAGGAACTCTTCCATCATCAATTGGAAATTTGAAGAATTTGACAACCTTGTAAGAAATCCAAATGGCCACTCCAGTATGTTCTATATAACTGTGTAGTCTAAATCCTGACTTCAGAAGCTGGTCATTTTATGCAGAATCTTAGTTGGTTGCAGTTTCTTTGGTCCAATTCCAGAATCAATTGGTTCTCTGCAGCAGCTGGTTTTTATGTAAGCATTACTTTTCCAGTTTATCCATTTGCTTACCTGAAGTTTAATCATTAATGTAAAGACATGACACCTGGGCTAACTCAACCCCAAAAGCTAACTCATGAGGGGAGGTTTGTCCAAGTCCATATAAGGAAACCAATTTCCTATCCCTCTACTCATGTGGGACTTCTTAACACTACCCTACACGTCCAAACCTCAACTGGAGCGTGAAACTTATAATGGGGGGCCAACATCGGTGAACAACAAATTGGGATGAGCCTGACTCTGATACCATGTAAAGATATGACATCTGGGCCTAACTCAACCCCAAAAGCTAGCTCATGAGGGGAGGTTTATCCAAGTCCATCTAAGGAGACCAATTTCCCATCCCTCTACCGATGTGGGACTTCTTAACAATTGATTGCTTCCATTTTCTTTATCTGAAGTTTAATCATTAATTGCTTCCGTTCTGTTTACCTAGAGTGAAATTGTGCATTTCTTCTATGTCGAACTTTGGCAACTGGGTAATTATTCTTGCCGTTAAAAACAAGTTTGGTTAACAATTTTTTTTTTGCTTTTCTTATCAACGCTCCAAGCAAATTAGATTCAGTTCATGGGAAAGGTGTATTCAACATTATTAAGATTGGATTTCATTTGAAAACGAAAAGTTGCCCACAAGTGATGGGTATATAAAACAGAGATTCTCTAACCAATAACTTGCAACTTTCCCTGCCTAGATTACAGAATTGTGCTGGAGTAGGATTCAGTAAATTGAAATTGAGTATTGGAACTTAGTGGTCCAGTGACTGAAATTCATCCCTAACACGTGAAGTATATTAGACGAGGTGTGGCATGGATTCATTTGTAGTTTCTAATAAACACAAGCATTGTTGTTTTTTTGTTGAGTATCATCTTATGGTCGTATAAACAGAAGCAGATGACAGAGAGGTCTTCTCTATTTCATATTATGTTCAATTACATTCTTCATCTTTGTTTAAGGGTCTATGATATATGTTCTCTTTAGCAGTCAGCTTATTCTTGACTTAATTTCGTATCTTTTTTACAACATTTCGACAGATCTCTAACTTCTAACAGCTTCACTGGGCCAATTCCACCATCAATAGGCAATTTATCTAAATTGTCATGGCTTGATCTGAGTGACAATAAAATTAATGGGACTATCCCAATCTCACAAGGTTCAACACTTGGTTTGGATTCACTAGTCAATACCAGACACCTGTATGTTGCCTCTCTATAAAATGTAACTTTCATTCTAGTCTTTTTCTCTACTTTAGTAGT